ATTTTTCCTAATAAACAATCGTGGTACAAAGCTCAATAAAAAAAATATTAAAAATAAAATTTTAATAAGCCACAATAACATTGACAATAACATTTATTTTAATTTTGTGCTAATTGTCAAAATTAGCACACATCGAAATAAAGATAAAATGACATGTGAATAAGTTGACAGCCAAGTTCACAAATCAAATAAGAATTAATTCAAGGCGAATTTAATATCTATTGAGGAGTAGGACTTGGCATGCAATATATGGTTAGTATAGTATGGAAAGGGCGTTACTCACATCGTCACTGAAATACAAAAAACCGTAACTAAGTAACAATCCGAAATTCACATTTTGATTGACGTATTGTGCATTCCATTGAATCATAAGTCCCATATGTTGAAAATTTGAGTTCATTCGCCTCAAAATACCAAAGCCAACTTAAAGCATGGAATGGAACAACAAAACGGATTTGTTGGCTTATGGTACCGACAGCGGTGAGTATTTAATTGTGACTGCCTGAAACTAGGAAAAGTCGACCTCAGCTAATAAAAAAAAACTATTTACAAGCTATTCATTACAGGTGAACCTTTCCAATAATTCACCCGGGAACTAAGCAGATCTGAGACCTTCGTCGTGCTTGATTCCAACAATTCAAATTATTATAAAAAAACGGGGCGCCTTTTTGACAAAATAACAAGATTTTAAACTAATTCGGCTGGCAGCTACGACTTTAAGAACAGAATTTTCTCCGAAATTTCATTCCTAGAAAATAACAATTTATTTGCCATATCCACCTATTTAAGCACACATTTTTCAAACCTATCACAGAAGACAATTAAAAATGAATCACAAAACTGAAATCGAAAAACGCTGATGACCTACAGGTTCTCCAAATTCTGAAACAACCAAAAAAACTGGTACTCTAAATTGGAAAACAACGGTGTTTAAACAACGATCTTGTCATGATGCTAGATTGTGAAGATGAAAGTCCTCCATACATCCAACATTTGCAGCCCCGATGCAATCCTCAAAAAGGAATTATTGCACCGCAATAAAAAAAGAAATATAACTAATATTTAATAATATAATTCTTTCAAGTTTCTAGTTTTTCAAGTTTGTCGCCTCGAGCGAGTAGTTATTTAGTGGCGCAGGTTTGATTTACGACTCTTTAAGAAACAGGCTGAAGCCCGAAAAGGCAGAAAAACTACTCTTTATTAAATACAATGTTTCAATTTATAAATTCAAGTACTAAACAAAGAAAAAATATTATTAAAAATTACTGACATTTCCATTTTTTATTTGCCTAAAGCACCTAATGTACTCACTTAACCCAAACCCGTGTTGCCATATGGCAACGCAAAATACATCGTGTTTAAGAGGGTGTAAAACAAAAACTGCTCACTTAAAAATGCTTATATGAACGTTAACTAATTGCTAAAAGGTGTATCTTTCGAAACGCTTACGCTTTCGTCAGATCCTTGCTGTCTATCGAGTGTAATGCAACAATAAACAAAATTAGAAGTGGCAGAAAACCCTTAAAAATGCCAGCATAAGTAAGTAAGCATGAATTTATAGAAGGCTTCCCGGCTGCGAAGGACGTTTATGCATGAAATACTGTATGAGGAAACTGCCTTAATTTCCGCCTGGAATAGGTGTAATTTTGAATTGATTGTGGTTTCGGTGAAGGCTAGCTCTGCAGTTGTCCTCATTGCGAAAACCTCTGCTTGAAATATGCTGCAATGGTCTGGTAGCCTTGCTGTCCTGACGTTCAGTTCCCGGCAGTGAATCCCGGCACCCACTCC